TTGTCCTCAGAATGAGCCATTGGAAAGTGACAAGATAGACCTGACTAAGAAAAAAAATCTTGATTGTTCCAGGTAATGTTCATTATGTGTTCAATATAGTTGTTTTTGTTGTTTAGCATTTAAGATCTAGTCTGTTATTTAATCATTTACCAAGAATATTAGCATGAAAGACTCTGCACTGTGACAGACCTGTTACTAAATGCAGGCTCTGCCATTAGCTGAGTGGCACCTAGGCAAAGTACTACTTTGAACTTCTTACCTCATATTAGAATGGAGGATAATATGTAGCAGATAGGATTGTGAGTATTAAATAAGCATTGTTATCTGAGTTGCTTCCTTTTTAAAAAAAAAAATTGTGGTATAAAATGCATAGCATAAAATTTATTGTTGTAGTCATTTTTTTAAGTATCATGTTCAAATTTCTTTTTAAAATGAGATTAATGAGATTCATTCCTAATTAGTAATTAGGGACTGATCTCAATAATTTTCCTCTTAATAATTAACATTTTTTTTTTACTATATACCATAATTTTAAGGGATTCTCATCAATCCTAACAACCCTGTTGAGCTAATATTGCTTTTTAGGCATTTTTGCTTTTTCCTATAGCATGCATTCAAAAAATATTTAATAGCACCGTATGCTAGAAACAGGTGCTAATAATAAACTGAAATAAATGATTAGAATGCCCTGAAATATATTTGTATGCTCTCATGGTGCCTAAAACATTCCATATACTTCCTGGAATTTTAGGTTTTTCTGACCATTTTTCATACCTACAAAAGAAGTGTTGGATTTGGTTTGTTAATTGTATTTTATCGAGGCTTTTAGTCTATAGCGTGCTTTCCTTACAATGTATTTGTCTAGTTTTGGTGTAAGAGTAATACTGGCTTTGTAAAATGAGTTGGGAAATATTTTCTCCTTTATTTTAGAAGAATTTATATTAATTCTTGAGTGCTTGATAGAAGGCAATGGTGGAGCCATTTGGGGAGCTTTTCTTTGTGAGGAGATTTTCTTTGTGAGGAGATTTTTGATTACCAGATCATAGATCATTTGAGGTTATTTCTTTAAAGTCACTTTTTTGTACGTTTTTAGCATTTGTTCACTTCATCTGTGTTATCTTTGTTGGTATACAGTTGTTCATAGCATTCTCTTATAGTCACTTTTATTTCTTTTGACTCTGGTGGTGTAGGACTCAAGAGGAGACTGAAACCTCCAAAAGTAAACTTTCAAAAGGAATAGTATATTTTGTTTGCATATATTTGGGGCAAACTGATCATCTGGGCACTACCAGAGAAATGAACTGGTTTTTCTGAGGGCCTTACTGTCCCCTCAAATAGGCTGACTAGGAATGTTAAAGAAAACAGTTTTACCAGTAATCTTGAATGGAATGGACTATAAGCTGCCTATAGGTCATATCTCACATTGCCCTTCCCTTATTACTCCTTTAGTTAGAGCAAATTTCCATTATCTCCCTCATCAAAATTTTTCAAATTAGTAATCTTGGTAGGTCCTAGAATCTGTTTTCCTTCCTGAGCCAGTTTTAAGTTTTAGGTTGTTTGTTCTAGCCGATGTTATATTGTTTATATACCCACTGTGTATTGTTTCTCAAAATATTTTTGAAGAATTCTAAAGACTTTTAAATTTTTCATATTCGTAGAACAAAAGGACACTCCAAAGATCAAGAAGGTATGTCCACAGAGAATGTTCATCTAAAGGCTCAGACCAGTGAAGATACATGCAAGACACCAGGAGAGTCTAATTTGGATTCTGGAGAGTCTAAAACTTCAGTTTTAGAAGAAAG